CAAGGAAGGACTGGCTTCCGCCTCTTTCATTCTGTGGATCTGTGCTTTCTGCACCTCCCTTGCTGCTTCTTGAATATTTCTTCACTAATCATTAGATTACCAGCCATTAATGGGGAAGCTCTGACGTAAGAAAATCAAAGTCCTGTCTCTATCAAGATGGTCACCTCAACACAGAAACAAAGTGCAGAACAAGGCATGTAAGACAGTTACAGGAAAAATGTCAGCACTAGGAAGACCACAAAGGTTTAGTCCTTTGCCATCTGCTTGCCTTTTTTTGGACACATCTTACACAGTTCTGGTCCTCTTTTTATCCCTGTGTCGCTGTCACCACACATTGGCTCTCTTTCTATCAGTGCAGGTTTTTTCCCCATGTATTGAGGCACCCTGAGCACAGCATAATTACTACATGCTACCTACAATTTTTCACTGGAAAAACATCATACAAATAAATGTTTTATTCATGTACAATAAACAATGTATAATTAGCTATAAGATATGTACAGTTCCCTGTAAAGGACATGTAACGCATAAATTCATTACTGAATGTCCCCATTATTAATTCTATGTGCAAATTGAGAGATCAGTCCATTTTAAATGTATTGCCATGAAGGAACCACACATATATTAAGTACAAATAAAACCACTCAAGTACAATCTATCTTTTATTGATCCATTTATACTGGCTGCAGGTGCTTAAAATATTACATGCATTTTCTCATGATCTATATCCCATAAGGAATGCTGTTCTTGCAAAGTACAAAACAAATTGTTCTTTCATAGCTCTCATCAAATCACTAGAAAAATCCATTCTCATGGCATCAACTGCTCTCCTATGTCATTAAACAATGGTTAATCTGTTAGCTAACAAGACACTGTAATATTGCATACAGCAACTTATGAAATGCAATCTGTCATATTTCTAGAGCAGGTAAGTAGAGCAAACATCTGTTGCTATGGACACAATATAATAAGGAGTGTGGTAAATAAAGGGATCTTAAAGGAGAACTATGAGGCAAGTGAAAATCACTCATCCTCATAGTTCTAGCCGACCTGTGACAATGAAACTGTCACAGGTTGGCTCAATAGATTGGGAAGTGAGCGAACACATACTGTCGCTCGCTCAATTCTCAATACTGTCCCTGCAGAGAGCCGTGACTGTCACTCACGGCTCCCTGCAGGGATTCCCAGCCCCTTCCCTGTTCTGTCCTCCAGCGCTGACTGGAGGAATGGACGGGGAGGGGGGCGGTCACAGCTGGCTCTGCCTCTAGATAGGCAGAGCCAGCTGTCACTCACACAGCTGGGTGGATCCAGACAGTAATGTCGGGATCCGTCCCGGCTGCGGCGTCTCAGTATACCGCGAGTTGTAGCTCGCGGTATACTGAGCTTTGGATGACGGGAGGACGCTAGTTTGTGTCTTCCCTTCACCCTTAGGATAACTATGGGGAAAAGCCCTGACCCCATAGTTCTCCTTTAAAATCTAAAAGTTTTAGAGCTATTTCAAGTGCTGAAAAATTCACTTACAATGGATGCTGCTTCTTGATGTTTAAAAGTTTTAGCTTCCTTCAAAATCAGCTGGCTCCCTGAGCACTGGTCCTGATATCCTGTGTCTGGGTGACGCGTCCCTTGCAAGGTCCTATGGAGCTACCCATGTCTTAGCTAGTAATCTGTCTGTGTCTGAACAAATACACAGGCACATCAAGGCAAGCCACAGTCCTCTTGTCTGCTCCTCCTTCATTCTCAAAGCTGCTGGGGACTGTGATGTTTCCAACAGCTGTAAATCTTGCACAGCCTTGTGATATTTTACTGGATAGAAAGTCCAGGGAAGCTGATCTGAGAGAGTTGGAGCCAATTGTTTGGAAACATATCTGTAAGTGCTTGGGCAAAATGTGTACAAAAACTTTGATGGGAAATGTGCATTCATTGGATCTGTATTTATTATAGAAATCAAATTGAGTTACCAAATTAAATCAATTAGCAACATGTTAATGATGTCAAGGAAACACTGTGGTTGGGCTAAATTCAGTTTATCTTCTGTACCCAAAATATTTATTTAAGAGTGGTTCTAGGATGGACTGTTGCTTTGTTTTGTGCAATGTGAATATGCTATGTAACTTCCTCTCCCTCTGCAATGGGAAGTGACTGAGAATACCTGACCTGTGTATTTACAGGATTCTCGATAATATGGTGACCTGGTATTTCCAGGTCACCATATTATTAGGAATTGTAAAGGAAATCTGCATTTAGAGAAATACAATTTTTGTTCCTCAATTGCTCATTGGAGGGACACATAAGGGAAGGGCAGAGAGCACAGCTGGCTCTAGAGAGGTGGAGCCAGCTGTCAATCAGACGGCATGGTGGATCCCTCCTAGCTGCTGTGTGGCTCTGTGCTGTCAGCATAAAGCGGGCAGTAGCTCACTATCTGCTGACTCGTCACATGAATACAAAAGCAAATGTACTCTTATGACCCAAAAGAGAACTAAAGCCAAAGGTTTAAACAATCATTAAATGTATTTCAAATGCAACTAGTATAAATACATTAATGTGACTATTTCAGTCTAATGTAATCTACTGTACAGAAGAACTCAGACTGAAAATGTGATGGGGCAATACATAAGGACAATCAGGTGTCCTGCATTCACATGTATTAACAAGAAACATGCTGGCAGGAGGAAAAGCAGAGAGATGAGTTCATCAGTTTGATAAGCGACTTCTCTGTCCAATTAAGATCTAGGGGCAGGGAAGTGACCAAGCTATGTTGCTTAACTGCAGCAAAAGAAAAGTCAGGTTATCAGGGCTGTGCTGTCCCTCAGTGCTGTGGAAATCCTAAGACTGGATGTACAACAATATAAATCCATTGGTAAGTCAATGGATAGCTTTCATATAGGCATCATAGCTGTGTATTTAAATGCTTGTGCATACCTGGACTTTAGCTTTAGATGAAATAAGCCACAGCTGGGCTGATACATAAAAAACTAAATGATCTGTCCACACTACTAAAACAGAAATGCTCCCCCACCCTATCCAAGAGGATGAAAAAATACTGATGCCCGTTAATTTTAACTATCCCTTCAATAGAAAATAAAACCTCCTATGCAACTATTGCTAATCTTGACACAGAAGATAAAAAAAAAATCCTTCCTAACCCCCTAATATATTATCTAGTTTTAATATTTAAATCATAGATCATTTTATTTCAGGGGCCACAGGTACACAGTTATAGTGCAATGAGTCATTGAAAGGGAAATATAAAAGTTTGTGAAACCACCAAGTTCTAAATAGAGAATCCAAATTTAATATTCAGTTTGTAGTCGGAAGGGTCCTCACCCTACATAGTTTTTGGTACATTTAAAGAAGACTGTACAATCTGATTGTAAAGGGTATGACCTACTTTAGACATGTCAACAATTCTACTTGTATAAAGACTGGTTGACATAAGTTGTTTGTGTTTATAGATAAGGCCACTGCGCGCAACAAAAACACTAAAAGCAGTCTAAATGGTCAAACATACTTACTAAGTAAGGACAATGGCAACTGCATCATTCAGGACGCTCTCTCCAAACAGCAAGGTGTACAGGTCAGTATCCACGTTCAGCTCATGGAAGATAGCCAGCACCGTCACTAAAAAGGTCAAAGCAGAAGTGCTAAGTATTTTTTTTCAATTATGTCATCAATGACAAGGAAACATAGAGCAATCAAAACAGATGTTAGCTGGAACACCACCAAGAGACTTTCCACTATGAAAGGCTTGGTGGTTATGTATTTAATGTACTAACATGTAGTAAAACCGCATGTAACAAATATGTCTTCGGCTCTGTAAGATTTCAATTTCCAGCTATTCTCCTTTCATCAATAATTTTTACTCCAGACAAGATTCGCTGAGATGTTTCTAGCATTTAATGGCACCAACTTCAACAGTTGTTAATCACAGCACTATCCTCATTGAAGCCAGCTGAGGTTGTGCTATCCTGGATGTCTGTTTCTATTGCACTGCTATCATGTGCAATGGCCCATAATACTAACGAGATGTTAATGAGGCAAGAAGAGGTTTCTTGACTGTGTGCTCTATTATGCTCTATAAATGATCATGTCCAGAATTATGCGTAGGTTACATCATCATGCCCAGAAATGCAGGAATCCTGCATTAAAAACTCTTTTGCCAATCTGGCTTTTTCATGTCATCTTTTCTTTCTCGCTCTTATTTCCTCAGTGGACGCTTCTTTTATTATAAACCAGGCACAGACAAGGTGGACCCGAGAATTAGTAGTATTAGTACAGACATTTACATTTTCCAATCATGTATTTTTCTAAAACAAAATGAAGTCAAATAGTTTTATTGCATTCATCTTTGTCTCTTACCTTCCTGGTTTGTTTGATTGTTGTTTCTATTACTATTGGTTAATTCGTTTAGATGGCATTGATCATTGTCATTATTACAATTATTTAAAATGTACAATTTCAACAGTTGAGCGAGTTGAGGGAGCTTAACAAGTGGCTCCGGAGCTGGTGTCAGAAGGAAGGTTTTGGTTTCCTGGAGAACTGGGCTGACTTTTATAGACCTTTAAGATGTTTTTCTACATATGAAAGACGTTAACACAGCAGATGTAAAACCCTAACTGCATAACATTTTGTTTGGTAAAGCATTGTGGGTCACAGACAAATGCCAGTTGGCCGTTCCAATTTTTTTTATCCTTTGTCTCATCTTAGTGCTCCTAATAGTCTGCAGGCCCTTTGCAACCTTTTCCTCTCTGTATCCATGCACACCAGTGAGGGCCATTTCTCATGGCTGCCTCCTGCCTTTACACTCCTTAATGAACGCCAAGGAAAGGTTTTTATGGTAAGTCAAAACCCTGTTTTTTTTTATTATTCAATAAGGGACACAGTAAAAAAGATTCTAAGATGTACAGGGCATCCAAAAAGAGTGCAACTGAGGAGTGGGCAACACAACAAAGAAGGCACTAACAGGCCCACAAAAACAGGTAAATTGGGGGCTATCTGCAGCACAAAGAGTCATCTGAGAAATCTTAGATCCAAAGCTAGTGTGAGATGAGGTTTGAATATCCACTTGGTAACATTTAGTCAATGTCTGAACAGAAGGCCATGTGGCAGCCTTGCAAAGCTAGGTAACAGATGGTTGATGCTGAAAAGCCCAAGATGTGTTTATTGATCTAGTAGAATGTGCTTTTACAGGAAAAGGTGGAACCTTATCCTTAAGTCAATAGGATTCAATGACTACCTTCCCAATCCAACTAGAAATTGTGAAACAAGAGGCACAGTGTCCTTTATGGAAACCCTGCACAATGACAAAGAGAGAGCCAGTCAGTCAGTCTGAAGGAACACATGGTTAAGAGGAAAACCTGAACAGCCTGTACCACAATCAAATAGTAGAGAGAAATCTCCTCGGTATGCACTGGGGTAGGACAGGGAGATGGAAGTGCAACTTCCTAATTAAGGTGAAAAGAAGAAACACCCTGAGGAGGAAGGAGGCCCTAGACATTAGGACAACCTTGTCTCTGTGTAAACCCAGAAAGGGTTCTATACAAGAGCGGGCCATCAACTCAAACTCACCTCGCATAGGTGATGACAATAAGGAAGGCAACCTTGTGGGTGAGTGTGAACAGAGAACATTTCTGAGAGGTTCAAAAAGTGATTTTTGAACAGCTGACAGAACCAAGATGAGATCCCATAGAGTCACAGGTGGACGTGCAAGTGGGCCTATGTAGGCAACACAATGAACAAAAGCCTTTAGCAGGGAATTAGAGGCAAGTGGTCTTTCATAGAGCATCTCTAGAGCCAAGATTTGTTCTTTGATAGTACTCAAAGCCAAATTTTGTTCCATATCAGTTTGAAAAAAAGTGAGGATACATCCCACAGAGTACTTCCTGGGATGGAATTTCCTCATCTCACCTCATGCAAAGTATGTGATCTAGCTGCAATGGTAGACCTAGTGAGAGGTGGATATCCTAGCTTTGAGAAGCATAGGAGTAACATAATCAAATAGTTTACTATCCTTTAGGACCTGGGATTTAATAACCATGCCATCAAAGCCAACGACCATGAAGCAGAGTGGAAAATTGGTATTTGGAACAGAAGGTCTGGTCAATCTGGAAGAGCTAACAGAGTCTGGTAAAAGTCTGATGAGGTCCAAGTACCACATCCGCCTGGACCCATTGAGGAGCAATGCGAATCACTGGAATACTCTCCATTTTGATTCTGTGAAGCAGATGAGTTGATGTTGAGTTGAAATGGTCCGGAGTGGAATTTTGCATATACGACTGCCTTGAAGTAGTCTATCATCAAAACCAGAACTCTCATTAAAAAGCAGAGTTGGACAGCTTTGGGTCTGCAAGATCTGAACATGGATGCAGAGACCTAGAGTTTGTCTTGCAAGAGATAAACTCTGGACTAAGTAGTATCTAATAGAGGACCTAGATTTCCAAGTGATGAGTCAGTTCCAGCAATGTCTTCTGAAGGTCCAGGATTCAACCAAATGTTTGAAGAGTCTGAACAGTCCATTGTTCGATAGGGCCCGAGCTGACTGTTCCCCCTGTTAAAAGAGGTCATCTAGATATCCCATGATGGGAATGCCCTACAAACGCAGGAGAGCAAGCACAGGGGCTAGCACATTGATGAATACTGGAGGTGTAGTGGACAGGCCAACAGGAAGGGCAGCAAACCGGTTGTGTTCTGTGCCCACAGTAAAACGCGTAGTGTTGACATGCTGGAAAGACAGGTACATGCAAGTAAGCATCCTTGATTTCCACTGAGGCCAAAAAGTCTCCCAGTGAGATGGAAGCTATGACTGATCTGTGAATTTCACAAAGCAATTGTGCGCTCAAATGAAAACACTGTGTGCCTTTAGATCCAGAATGGGTTGAATGCCCCCTATTGGTTAGGGGAAGGGAAACAGGTTTGAGTAGAAACCGTAAAATAGTTATTTTTCTGGAATACTGGTCATGACTTCTTGACATAGGAGTTGCAAAAGAGCAGCGTGGGGGGTCTGTTATCAGTTGCAGAGATGTTGGCATGTATGACAACACGAAGCTGAGCAGAGGCAGAGATTAAAACTCTAGTTTGTAGCCCTAGGACAACACATCGTTTATCCATGCATCTTAGATGATGTCATTCCAGGTGGTCAGAAAGGCGAACAGACAAAGGCAAAGCCCCTGAAACATAGCGCGCAGTGATCTGAAACAGCACCCTGCATCAAACAGACGCAGTAGTTAATATTGTGACAATTCAGGGGCAGGATGCAACTAGAGGGTGTAACTAACGGTACACTAGAGGATGTATTTATAAACAATTTGCAGATCCATCCGCCCTGCAACATTGCATCTATATTTGTTCTTTTTGAATGGAGGCAAAAACAATTGTTTTTAGCATACAGTATTTTCTCTCCAGGTTAAACATAATATCAAGAAAAATTGCAACGTTTCAGAATCTCCCAGGGCCCCTCTGTTAGGACACGCTGTCTGATGAATGAACACTGCGAGGTTCCGAAATGTTGCAATCTTTCTTGATATGCTGCGTGAACGTCAATAGGAGACAAGCTTTTAAAGCATAAGGTGTGCTGACAACATATCTTTTCTTATGTATTACAAGTAGCGCCATTTACCAGTTGTTTCAAGCACCCCATTTAAAGGGGAATACCTGTCTGGTGTGCGATGGAGATATATTTATGTTTTGAGAATCACTAATATGGCATATCCCTGTTTAAGAGTTTACAGTGTACACTCTCTTAAAGAGGGAATCCGGTTTAGATCCTGTTACGTTCAAAGAACACAAAAGAGCAAAACTAATGACACTGTAAAAAGATGTAAGATTATACACCAGGGAGCCGCTAAGGTATTATTCAGAATGTAATCCTTATGAACGCTTGGAGAAGCCTTTTACAGGAACATAAAAAGGCATACAATATTTACAACCTATGTAAATATATTGTACAGAGGTTAATAACAAGAGAACACCACAAGTCTACAGTATAATTGCACTATTTGACTCAACACGGTTCATTAGAATAATAAGTGAATATGTAATTGTACCATCATTTTTGTTTCATCATTAGCATACTAACACAGCATAATTAATCAGGGATGTATTTGCAGATATCTGTTTGTATTAATCAAGTCACAATGCTCATCAGCACTACAGAATAACCTCACTTTGAAAAGGATATTCTGGTTATTAATGTGAGGAGAGTACCTGTATAGTAAAAGAATGAACTAATTGAGCATAATGCTCTTGTACTTGAGAAAACCTTCACAAATTATCATACATTATAAATACCCAGGGAACATAATATATGGAGAAGCTGGTGCTAATAGTTTTACTGCTGATCGGGCAGGTACAATACGCTACATTTCTTTAACAGGCATAATATAGCATAACATGAACATTTCTGCACCATGATGACATAATAAACCTAATGCAAAGAGATCACATATAAGCAGGAAGTTGCGATAACGAGTGTTGCATCAGGCTTATATTTGCCACCTTCCACAAGTAGCAATAACCTCCAGTCTGTAATATGCACCTCCTTCTTGTGATCTTAAAAATGGGGTTACTGTTATGGGCACTGGGCAAACAGCACAGAGAAGAAGCTTCCGCATCACAGTATGGAGTACTTGTTGTGTATGCCAACAGGAGAGAACTGAAGGCCATGAAGGAAAGTGAAAATCCTGTCTCCTGTCGTTGTCAACAAGACACAGCATGCCTGCCAATACTTTCTTTGCATCATGAAAGAAAATGTCATTTGTGTGTGTTGAGGTGCTATACTAGTCCTTTCTGTGCTTTGGAAAAAGTCTGAAAATCAGATTTGGTAACAGTCAACAGGGATCACAAATATATTATCTGTAATATAAATGTAATATAATAATATATTTTATAATTATATTACATTTAAATTTGAACTGTAAAAAAAACTGTGAAAATAAGTTTTTTAGGTATTTCACTACTATAGAAGATCATAGCTGAACCTATTTTTGGGAAGATTCAACAAATATGTAATATTGGAATAACTAAAGCCCTTCTCCAGCCTTTTAAAAAAAAAAATTGTGGGTAAAGGGATAGAGCCTTGACGGTGTACATGCTGTCTATGCCTTCATGGTGGTGATTTCTCTACTCTCTGGTCCATCTAGCACCTATCTTCCTGTCTCCAGGGAGAGAAGGAAAACTCACATAGACAGCAACACAATCCTGGCACAGATTCAAAACCTTCCGTGCTCTACTAGAAAATGTGTTTTTATTGCTTCACATGCCCTTGTTGAGGAGTTTCTCCCGTCACTTCCTATTCTTTCTTAAGCTGGCCATACACCTTACAGTTTATCTGCAGATTTTCTGTGGTCAGATGGAAAAGGTGCAACAGATTCCTCCATCTACACTTAACTGTGTGGATGGAGTAATCTCCACCTGGGCCAATCTGTTGCACTTTTTCCATCTGACCACAGAAAATCTGCAGATAAATGTAAGGTGTATGGGCACCTTTACACCCATCAAGTAGATAGAAAGCGGGAAAATATACCCTTTACCATTAAAAAAAATCCTCAAAAAGTCTTGCCTAGAGTTTGCCTTTAAATAAAATGTACTGAACATTGTTTACGGAAATTACTGTAAACAAATGAGCAATATGAACATATTACATTGCTAATTTGTTCATTGTTTTCAATCTTTTGTATACTGAACAATAGAAGATATGTTCGGTTGTGTTTGTCCCACAATAAACAATCATTGGTATTGGTTTATCTGATTTTCTCTAAAACAAATGTCAACAGATATTTTCTTCAAGACGACAGCATCTTCTATGTATTTAGAAAAGAATATGTAATCATGTGGTTGTTTTTAATATAGTATTTCTTGCTGGTTTTACATTAGCTTAATAATTCTGCTGCAATTAGCCAAACATGCTGAGAACACATACAATTTTTTTTATCTTCAATGGCTCCACATGCAAACTCTGTAATGCTCTCAATATATCAGGAGACAAGTTTTCCTTCATTCTGCAGTCCGGATCTGAGTCGGTATGAGGAGCAACAGAAAACAATCACAGCACGTATCAGGACAACATGCAGCTGCTAAAATGCAGCTCCCCTTATTAATTATCTGTCATTTGCTTGATTGATAAATTATAGATTTCACACTTCATTAAACCAGTCCCTAAGATGGATATGTGCAGCATCAAAAACACAGCACCAGCTAAATTCTGGAAGACAGCAATCTTGAAATGTTTAATTTTACTTGTTTACTTTAATTGAAGCATTGATCTAATGAGATAATATCCTAGAACTTTAAAAGCAGTTTATGCTGTCTTTGCTAACTGGTACATGCACAGTGCAGCAGTACTGGCCTGTTACGGTGAATGTGCGGATGAATCGGGTGAGAAATTCCAACTGAGATATGGATAGTTTGGAGAGTCCCTGACCTGTCTCTTGCACATGTACGGTCACAGGCTCCTGCAGATACATCTATGAATCCAAATTCTCCACTGAACTGTATTTGGCTAATTTGTCCTCGGCAGAGTGGGGGAATTACGGGTCTATTCACACCAGAATGCATGCACTAACTTTGCAGCACATATTGTAACATGCTTTATGCGTGTCGTGCTGAATTCTTTTACTTTCCATTTCCTTTTTTTCAATTTTTTCAGCCCCTTGCATTATGCTGACATGTGTGGCTGATATAAATGTATAAGGAGATGACCACTAAAGAGAGTGGTCAATTTCCCCCTATTAATAGTGTCAAGTAAAAATTAGGTGTCCATAGAAACTTCTGAAGGGGGATTTAAGGTACTCAGTTAAAAGTACTAGTATGACATTAAAACAGAATTCCACCCAAGACCTACTGATATTTATCACTGGGTTTTTATGACTTCCCATAACTCGAGGTAGAAGGTTTTTTTCTTGCCCTGGTCCAGCCATGCAGCTTCTGCTCAGGTGACAGCATAGCTTCTTGGATTCCCTGCAGTGGATTTGCCATATATATATCTAAAGGTGCCCATACACCTAACAACCATTGCAAGACTTTTGTCTTGCGATGGCTGTAAGCTAATTAAAAGCTCGTACGATCTGCCCATCTTGGACTGGTAGATCGTACTTGCGATCATCGCAAGCTCACCCCCCCTGAGGGGCGGGCTTCCGATGACTGCAATGTGGGGCGGGCTTGCGATGACTGCAAACGGGCAGTGTGCGTATGCGCACACCGGCCCGTTCGGCAGTTGTCGAACAAGCAGGCCACTAACCCGCCGAAAATCGTACGATTCTCAGCGGGTTTTCAAGCCTGCTTGTTCGACGGAAGACGTGCGGCCGTACAGTAGAAACGTACGCACGCCTTCCATACACTTTGCGATTCTCGTCCGATAATCGTACAGTGTATGGGCACCTTAACCTTCCTGGTGGTATTCCCGAGTCTGGCTCGGGGTTAATTTTCAATGCTAGGAGTGGTAACCCCGAGCCAGACTCGGGCCTGCAGAGAAAAGTGACACTCACCTTGTCCCTGCGATGCCGCGGCGTCCTGTGCTGTACGCGGCCCGAAAACGAAACTAAAAGTCAGATGCCGGCATCTGACTTTTAGTTTCGTTTTCGGGCGTCACAGCCGGCGGGAAATTCAAAAGTGAAAAGTTTTATTATAATTTTGTATAATTATTTATTATATTATAATTTCTTATAATTATTTAAAATGTATTATATTATAATTTTTTTAATTTTGTGTTTAAAACTTTATCATACCTGGGATGTCTACTGGACTCTTGTTTGGACAGATTTAGGGGAGTTATTCCTAAGATTTACTAAGAATTGCAGGCCTACAATACATAACACCAAATTTCCATGAAAAACAATGTACCGCTTTTGGTACAAAATTCCTGACATAATCATACCGCCAGGGAGGTTAAGAAACCACTGGAGATTGGATGATATGGAAATTCTGAAGTGTATACTATTTTGCATAAAAAGGAAGATACGTATTACACCTTCTGCCATTGCTGTTGGGAAGCTGAAGTTCTTTAAAAAGATTGAATACTGTAGTCAAGAGTGTATCCCATGGCAAATTAGTTATACGGCCCTCTGTTTTAAAGCAGACACCCTCTTTTGTCACATCCTACTGTTACATTGCCTTCCTGCCTCTGCAATGTACCACTGACAACTCCCTAGCACCTGGATTGCTAACCAATTACCTGTTGCTAGAGAGTTGCCCCTTTGCTAGCTAGACCAGTAAAGTGTTGACCCCCTCACTGCTCTCTAGCTAGCGGGTGAGATGCAGCAGCCTTCTGGGCTACTTAAGGAGTGATTCCATTAGGATAATTAGAAGCTTCTCCTCCATAACTTTGCTGTTGGCTAGTTGTGGCCAGCAGCAGAACTGCCTGTGTGGTATGGACTTAAGAGTGGGAGGTTATGCACATAAGGCAATCAGACTTGGCTACATTGCACAAAACTATGTTTTCAGGCACTGGCAGCCCAAATGGGAAGTACGTATGCCATTCACAAAAGCACAGAGCACAGGAATGGACATCTGGGTAATATTTGTCTCACAGTTGAGAAAGCAGGTGGTGCAGGCAAATGACAAAGGAAGATGCAGAGCACCAACAATGAATTGTGTAATTGCCCTTTCGGCACATACAAGGGCACATCAGAAGATAAGGTAAATGTTTTTGCAGAAAAAACAGTTCACAAACATTTATTTAAACTTTGCTGTCCATCTTGTGTTCCATTTGAAGGTCAGTTGCAACTGCAAATTAGGTGATTATCAGCAAGAGGATAGATGGCTCTGTGGCATGGGATAAAAACTGCCATCGAAGTTAAGCCCTAAGGGCTCAGTCACACTAGATGCCTCGCATTGCGGCCGGCTCACTTTTTAGTGGAGTAGGAGTCTGAATGGCCCACCACGCCCCCTACCCCCCTAAAAAGTGAGCCGGCCGCAATGCGAGGCAGTGCGTTCCGGAAAATCGGGCCGGAACACACTGCATCTAGTGTGACTGAGCCCTAAGGCTTCATGAAGTGCCTGGGTATATGGGGATAATTGGCCATAACATCCTTCCAATACAACTAACTCTAATAAGCACATGGAGGGCGACAGTACAAACATCACTAAGCACCAACTTGGGCCTCTATATATCAAACTTTTATGGAAAAAAATAAGAATTCTATCCACATGATTTAAATAAGGCTGTGGTGGGAGAAAGTAATACTGCTTATTTAGTCTTTAGAAAATTGCTGTGGTGCAGACTATTACTGAAGATTGTTACGGATCACCATGAACAAAATTACATCAGACAGTCTCTCTTGTACCATCAGGAATGTTTACAGGGTTTACAAATTATTCTACAACATAGAGCTCTTTAATACAATGTTTGTTTTTTTCTTTTAAATGTCCAGAAACAACGTTTTTTTTAAAAATGAAAGAAGCCGATGTGCTAACTAGTATTGAACCTGTGCCTGGCTCAGTAAACAGGAAAATATCACACATTTGTATGAAAATTAATTACCTGGATCCGTTGCAGACATCAAAGAGCCAAAAAATAAACAGTCAGTGAAGTGAAAGTCGCCAGTCTGTATCTGTCCCAGATGCATCATGGCCATAACAAAGCCATACATTATCAACCTGTGAAAGAGAGACACACTCCATTCAGCACAGTTTTATAGGATTTACAATGACTCATCTTCTCTTCCTAAGCATCTTACAGTTACAATTCTTTCTAAACTAACATCACAACTTGTGAAATAGGCTGTGAACTGGAAGGTGGGTGATTTGGAGCTTGGGAACTGGAACCAGCAGCACACACAGTATTAGGTTTGTGGTGGCCTATACTTTCTTCCCCTATGGTAATACGAGCTTGGGATATGTGGTACACATGTTATCAGCATTCAGGGTTTAGGATCTTCTGACGACATAAAGATATGTTTAATCATTTTATTGTGGCTCATGTATTGTTTAAGGAATTAGGTTTTCTGTTCCCCATTCCCGCCTGCTGGTTATTCAACCCTATATCCACCAGAAACTGAGTAAATACAATTACTGGGGGTTTATATTGATGTCATACATTTTCTCTGATGGATTTCATGTTAATAAATACAATATTTTAACAGTAGTCACCTGTGGGTCTCCTGAGAAAACAGAATAACGTGAAATTCTGTGAAACGAGTCGAGTTGTGTCTCATTTACATTACAGTACCAGCATTCTACATACTGTATGTTGATTTATATGAACTGTATGTATCAGAATCACATATGAATACATTGACTGAGATGAAAGGAGCTGTTGTTATAATTGCTGGCCCAGCTTAAATGTGGGACTATCCCTTAGGATTTTATAATGTGCTCATTCTATTACACTCTTTTGATTTTAATAAAAATATTAAATTGAATAGATGTGTGTGTGTGTGTGTGTGTGTGGTACCATTAATGTCCGGTATAGTTTAGTTCTCTGCTTTTGGAAATATTTGAGAAATCAGATGTGGTACTGGCCCACCAGCATTAAGTAAAATGATAGAAAATGTACAAACATGGAACAGGCCTTAGAAAACAAAAAAAACCTGCAATGGAAGTGCTGACAGCATAATCCTAGACTAAAGAGGGAACTCCAGCTCTGCAAAAGTGATGATCCTGGACTTTGTGCAAATCTAGTTCGCCTGTGTTCACGAAAGCCCACTCAAAACTGTCACTGCCACCCAGCCCAATCTACTGCAAAGAGGCGCATTCCGTGACCTGCACCTATACATCACAAAAGGGTGGGCCATTCCCCCACTGCAATTACTGCCTGTGATTGGGCTAGGAGGGGGGAGTGGCGGTCACAGTTTTGATTGGACTTGGGCAAACTCATGTGAACTGGGTTAACACCAAGCCCAAGCAACTCCTGTTGCAATATCTAACTTCTGGGAAAGCTGCAAGTAATGACAAAGCAAGTTGTGGCCTAGAACATGAGCAAATTTTGTACATGCTTTTAATATGCACAAATCAATGACGTTCAATGGCTTCAGCCATCTCAGTATTTTAATCCAGTTCTATAAAAAAATTTGGGAAAAGGAGAAGGAGGAAGTATAATATAAGTCAAATTAAGTAAAATGCACTCTTCCCATTCCCAATACTTACAGTAGCTAAAAGAAAATGGTTATTCAATAGCTATAGCTACCCACAGGGTGCTAAAGATGAAGAATTTAAAACATATGGTTTGAAGAAAAATTAAAAATGAACAATATTCAGATTTATTCATGTATTAAAGGGAAAAACTGAGACAGGCAATCAGAACATTTGATGAGTTTTCCATATTATAAGGATGAAGGATTAACTAATAAGTTGAGAAATATCCTAAATTAGCTGGATGTAAAAAGGCTTATCACAAATCACAGATACAAAATCATAGTGTACACGGCACAATTTTACTAACTACACTTACACTTAGGGCCATCTGCCAACTCCCACACTATGGCCTCTATGTATTTCAGCTTTAGCAGCCAACTTTTGAGTAGGCTGTATGCCTTATGTGTGAATTATAGTGTATAGGTAAGGTGGCCATTCCCAAGAAAATGAAAAAGTAGAAGTAGAGTGGTAAAGTGCAGGCCTAGGTGTAATCAAACAATACTGGAAGGCACAAAGCATCAGAGGACACAGCTGCCCATGTGAACATTGGGACCAAAGGTAGTCTAAACATTAAATATGGTACTTCTACTTTATTTTTTCATCGGTTTTAGTGGTTTACTAATTAACATGTATAAGGATGTGCTTTATGTGTATGGTACCAGGAAGGTCACAAACATATGCTGATTTCAGGAAACGGTGCACAATCCCTTAATACCTACTGGACTCTTCACATTAATTATACTTAAAAGCTGGGCTATAAATGAAGTTCAATGCAAATATTGATTATTGGAGTTTAGTAATGTCACATGCTTCTGTCTGTTATAGAGGTCATTGAATTCCTATATTCGGTGTGATTTATCTACTCCTTAGTGCCTTGTCAATATAATCTATAAGGCTTCAAGTCAAATTTGCTAAACAGACTTCAAGATAACTGAGTTGAATTTTTATATAAGAATGTATAAGATAGATAGATAGATAGATAGATAGATAGATAGATAGATAGATAATAGATAGATGGATAGATAATAGATAGATGGATATATTTTAACTCTACCTTAGCACCAATTCAGACTGTTGTGGTGTAGAAACCCATCTCATTACTGAGCTCATTACCACGCTTGTTCCCACGATGCACACCTGTTGGTGCGATGCGGTTCCAAATGGCAACCAAATGCACCTGCGTTGAAGCACACTGCAATGCATGGTAACACACTACAGTGCAATGAAGAGGCCTGTGTTGCAAAAACGTTGCAAGTCTGATTTTAGTGTGGTCTAATGCATTGCAAACACATTCAAATGAATGGGCTGCTGTAAAGTCAGGCCAGGAACAGCAAACGGAGGCGCCTGTGTAGGGCCAACATGACAGGGTCTTGAAGAGGCTAACAGGGTTTAGATAGGGTTAAACTATTATCTTAAGGGATTTTGGGTGGTGTCACTTACCTGATTGGTCAGGGTCCCGGGAGGCGGAGGATAGGTGGCCCCTTGGGAAGGAAAGGTCAGTCTCGGTGGAGTCATCAGCGTGGAAGCAGCTTCCCACCCTCCCGCCCCATTGGTCATATTTGATTTGTTGCCTTGTGTTTCTCTTGTTTCTACTTTGTCTTTTTTTCTCTCTGTTTTACCATGTTGTCTTGTCACTGCAGCCGGGCAGGGTGGTAGGGTCCTTGAGGTGCAACATATTTGCTTGAGGTTTAAGTGACAGTGGGGAGCCGTCTTGCGGTCAGTTCGTTTGTTACAATTTGTTACAATGGTTACATTTGCTTTTGGCACTAAATGATAAAATGGCTGCTGTGGCCACTAAAAATCCAAGACCTGTGTCGTGTCATTCATTAATAGAGTTATTATTGAATTTAGTTGTTGGAGGTTATTTGACCAACAGGAGCCGTATACAATGCCCTTGTCATGCAATGCAGCAGGCCATAGCAGTGTGAATGGGCCCTTATTAGGGATGCACAGATACTTTTCGAGTACCAGTGCAGATACTTGGCATTTTCATGAGAACTACCAGGGTTGCACCGGTTGCAGCTGGGACCTGGCTCTGGCACTCCCCCCACTGTCCTGAAATCATTGGTCTGTATTGTTTTAGAAAAACTGTCACATGACAATAAACAAAAATGTATCAGTACTCGTACTTGTAAGTACTCGGCAAGTACCAGTACTCACACTCGCAAAACTGGTATCTGTGCATCCCTTTATTTATATTTATAAAAACAGAATCGTACATTAAACCAGAGATGTACAAATCCCAGGAGCTCCGTGTGCTCCTTACAAATGACAGCTGCCTCCTAATTTTTTTATTTTTCTCTAGTCTAGTCTTGGAGCTCAAAAGTATCGGTACATGTACTCGTACTTGTACTGAGTACTGTACTTGGTATCTGTGCAACCCTAGCCCTTATATTACACCTTTCCTCATGTTTCCTAGATCCTTAAAAACGTTTACTTAAATTTATATACTGATGTATATATTTACATATATACTGTCACATAATGTTGTAAAATATGAGGTTACATACTGATTTTTTTCAAGCTTAATGTGTTAGAGTAACCAAAACTTCCTAAGAAGTTAATTTGCAAACACTTTATGGTTACATGAACAGCAGTGCAGTTGTACAAGGATATTTCAAGTTCAGGGTAGTCCAGGAAGTTAACAGCATATTAGCTTAATAATCCATACAATGGAGCCTTGCTGCTGAATTTCCTGTGCAATAAACCCTTAAAGAGAGAAGGATTCTTAACAAAGAGCTAAATCTACTGATTAACTTCAGCCTTCTCTCTGCAAACACAAATCAGTAAAATTGCTGACAGCCTATTTCCCTACATTACAACTCCCAAAAGCTTATTAAATGTTTTCTTCACTTCTCTATACTTAAGCTATCTTTATTTATATGATATTAATTAACTAATTATGCGCAAAAGAAAATGTAATTTATTATGAACAGCTCACAATTTGGAGTGTGCATATATATTATTCTTGATTCTTAAAGAGTATGTTCGCTGAAATTTGTATTTTGGTTTTGGTTGATGTTGAAAAGTGAAACCAGCCAAAAATATGAGGTTCATTTATAAAAGCTATTTGCAGGGTGGATGCTGTTACCAGATGGTGCTGAAGAGCATAGGAATTTTCCATCTAGTAGTGCTAGTGCCGTGGACCTTTATAACTCTAATACAACTTTAATAAATAAACACCTATCTCTCCAGGGAACTCTGGTGGTGAGCATTTGAGTCTCTCTGTTGGATTTTTTTATGTTTATTTTAGATAATGCAGAAAGAAACTGAAGAAGAGAGAAGACCCTCTGGTAAGTGGGAACCTCTAAAACTATAAATTTGGTTGGAAAATATCCAGTAATAATGGTGGGGGATGTCAGTACTGGAGTCATCAACAGACAGAAGAAACCAGATGATGATTGACCTCACTGGGCTTCACTCGTCATTAAAATACCACTTTTGGATGCTCAACTCTACCCTTTTAAAACTAAAAGTGAAGTCCAGAATGTGCAAAAATAATAAAAGCAGCTCTGTCTGCAGTA